AGCAAAAAAGAAAAAAGAAAGAAAATGTGTAATCAGTACATGTAAATAAGTGGTATTATATGTTTTAAAAATATAGTATCTTTTTATATACCCAGGATTAAAAATTAATAAATAAAAAGGAAAATAAAATAAAAGTAAAGACACATACAAGAGGAAACAATTAAAAACTCACTCCACACTGATGAGGTCCCAGATCCACGTCTCTGGGAGGTTTTTTCTTACTGTTTCTACAAAAACCTGTTCTTTATAAACACTGCTCCCTGCGATTTCAGCAGCTAAGAAAAGAGAAATTAGAGAGTATAAAAATACATGTTTCATTGATACACAACTGTAAGCTGGGTCTTTAACTACATATGCTTAGTGCAAAGCAAACAACCACTCTCAAGTCTCCTACATTAACTGTCGTCCTCAACTTGCTCCTAGGAGCTCTGTCTTAGGTCATTTTCTTCTTATGCACTGTCTCCCCATTGACCTCTTTACACACGGCTTCCACTGTAACACGTATGCTGAAGCCTCCTCAATCTGTGTCTTCCTCCCAGATCCCTTTCCTGAGCTGCAGGCTCATGCAGGCAGCACTCTGCACATTTCTTGCAGATGCTTTATAAGCATTTCAAATGTCATTGCTCCTAAACTAACCTCATTGTATCCCTTCCCCCACCTCTCTCCTGTGTTTCCATCTCCAGGAAGGCTACCAACATCCACCCACTTACTCAAGTCAGAAACTTAAGAACTGTCTTTGATCCCGCCCTCTCCTGCATTTCTCATAACTCAGCAACCTACAAATGTTGTCAGCATAACTGGAAAGCATCTCGGAAATCTATTGCTGTTTTTCTATTTCCACGCCTTTTTTTAGTAGTGTACCACTATCTCTCACCAGAATTACTAACATTTATAGCATTTCATATGGCTTGAAATGGCCCCAAATCTCAAACCCTTTTTCACAGAGCAGCCAGAGATATTTTAGAAAGAAATATATTAGAGTATCTGCTTAAAGCTTGTTGACGGGATCTTGTTACTTTAGGATGGATTTCCACCTCTTTGAATGTCCTGCAAAGTTTTAATGATCTGTCTACTCTCCCTCTTTAGCTGTCCCTTGCTTTGAGTCACACTTTCTGCCATCCTGAAGTGCTCGTAGATTCTTACCTTGTCTTGCACAGTACTTCCCTCTCTGCTCAGCTTGTCCTGCTTTTTGTGATATGTTATCATTCATTTCTCAGGTCTCATTATAAATGCGACTTCCTCAAGAAGTATATTATAGGCCTGGCATGGTGGTTCATGCCTGTAATCCCAGCACTTTGGCAGGCTGAGGTGTGAGGATCGCCTGAGCTCCCAAGTTCTAGAACAGCCTGAGCTAGAGTGAGACCCCATCTCTAAAAAAATAGCCAGGCACTGTAGCAGGCAACTGTAGTCCCAGCTACTTTGGATTGAGGCTAGAGAATCACTTGAGCCCAAGACTTAGAGGTTGCTGCGAGCTATGATGCCAGAGCACCTAACTGAGGATGATATAGTGAGACTCCATCTCAAAAAAAAAAAAAAAAAATTAAAGAAAAAAGAAGTACATAATAGGCTCTTGAGTGTGGGGTAAACCCCCACAAAAATTAAATGAAATGTGCTCTTTTAATTCCAGAAACTGAGCAAAAAGACTTGCGAGTATTATGCGCTTTTGTCAAGGCTCTAAGCGACCTGGAAAACACAGTGGGGGCCTGCTGGCAAGGCGTAAAAACCTCCTACAGGGAACCCCAACTGTGTAGTCAAGTCAGCCTATCAGACAAGGGTTGAAACGGCCCATCTGTGCAGAGGACATGACTCAAAGGTTGGTGTGAGTAAAAAGAAAAACTCCATTGTAATGATATTGAGTAAAATACTCTGTAGTAACTGCAAGGTCTCCAAAACCATAAGATAACAGTCATGGAGCCAGTTTCTCAGAAATTTAATAGAGTACATGAAAGAGAAAGGTTTTACTCCTGTTTATCCTAACCTTTAACTTTAACAATAGAAGTCAGATTAATGTATAGTTCTTTTAGGTCTTCAAAGAGGAATAGCCTGAGGCTAGCTTAAGATGGTTGTCTTACTTTCCCAGACTTTCTTTCTTTAGGCTAATCTTATGATGGCTATCTCACTTTCCCGGACTTTCTTTCTTTTCTATAGTTTAAGATAAGAAATGAGGATGTTAGGATTATTGATCAATATGGTGTACGCGACTAGCTCCCAATAAAAGGGAGTAGAAAATAAAGACATTTTGCTACACGCCATCTAAGAGTGTGTAGTCGTTTCTTGCTTTCAAACAATTCTAGGAGCGAGCTTGCACCTGCAGCAAAGCCGACCTTCTCTCCCTGCAAGAAAGAACATCACCTAACACTTGAGGGTCTATGAGGCCTTTTCTATTCATATATATATATTTTCCATTTAGTGTATTCTCCTCAGGTTTGTAGAATTACCTGTTTAATTTCCAAGTTTCTGTCTCAGACTAAAAATTCTGGGAGAGCAGGGATGAAGTAACTGCATTCCCACCATACAACTAATTCCCTCGCTTTTATAAATGTTTGTTGAGTGAATTTATAAATAATAATTAGAGAAAGAAGAGAAGAAAATGAATAACTTTGGTTTTGACACCTTTTAGTCCGAGATACAAGAAAGTTTTTTTCATGTTTCTGATAAAGCTCATGGAATAAGGTTTAGTTTAGTAAGGCAGTCCCCAAGTTACAAACATCTGACCAATGTATGACTCACGATATAAAAGGTAAAAATACCTGTTCCAACTTATATACAAATTCAACTTAAGAACAAACCTACAGAATCTATCTTGTTTGTAACCCAGGAACTGCCTGTAGTAGAAAATCAGATAACTTCAACCTCTTGATTAGCACTTCAAAGTGGTTTCAACTTCTGGTTTTGATGGGGCTTCTTCAGCACTCACTGAGTCTATCCTTGTATAACATTGTCAGGCCTTTCATTTTTCTAAAACAGAATTTCTGGAACCTATTTCCAGGATCAACACCCCTTCAATCACCAGACTAATCTCGATGTCAAGTCAGAGGGAGTTGGGAAATGTTATTCAAGTACTCGCAGATGCATTTGAAATGCAGCTTTGATTTTGGCTTTGTCATACCAACCTCGTGTCATCACGATGGATCACTTACATGACGGCAGTCCCGTAAGATTATAATGGAGCTGAAAATTTTCTATCACCTAGTGACACAGAAGCTGTCATAGTGTAACTCATCACTCACATGTTTGTGGTGACGCTGATGTAAAAATATCTACCATACTGCCAGTTGTTTAAAAGTATAGAGCACATATAATTATGTTCAGTACATAATAACAAACGACTACACTGCTGGTTTATGTATTTACTATAATATACTTTTTAATCTGTATTTTAGAGTTTACTCCTTCTACTTATATTCAAAAGTTAAGTGAAAAACAGCATCAGGCAGGTCTTTCAGGAGGTATTCTAGAAGATGCCTTATTGTCATGGGAGATGACAGCTCCACGCTGTGTCACTGCCCCTGAAGACCGTCCAGTGGGACTAGAGGTGGAGGTAGAAGACAGTGAAAATGATGATACTGACCCTGTCTAGGCCTAGAGTGTATGTGTGTTTGGGTCTTAGTCCTTAAGAAAAGTTTAAAAATTAAAAAGTTTAGGGCGGCGCCTGTAGCTCAAAGGAGTAGGGCGCCAGGCCCATATGCCGGAGGTGGTGGGTTCAAACCCAGCCCCTGCCAAAAACTGCAAAAAAAAAAAAAAAAAAAGAAAAATATAAAGATTATATGTTTGTACAGTTGTTTAATATGTTTTTAAAATGGTTATTACAAAACAGTCCAAAAGCTTTAAAAATGTTAAACATTTATAAAATAAAAATGTTATAGTAAGCTAAGGTTCATTTGTCATTTAAGAAAGAAAAATAAATATTCTTAAATTAAGTGTTGCCCAGCATTTATAAAGTCTGCAGCAGGGTACAGTAAAGTTTCAGGTCTTCACCTTCACTTAACACTCACTGACTCACCCAGAGAAACGTCCATTTCTACAAACTCCATTCATGGTAAGTGCCCTTTACAGGTGTACCACTTTTTATCTTTTTTGTTTGTTTGTTTTGTTTTGAGACTGTCACCCTGGGTAAAGAGTTGTAGCATCATAGCTCACAGCAACCTCAAACTATTGGGCTCAAGAGAGCCTCCTGCCTCAGCCTCCCAAGCAGTTGTGACTACGGGCATCTGCAATGATTCCCAGCTAGTATTGCTACTTTTAGTAGACACAGGATCTCATTCTTGTTCAGACTGGTCTTAACCTCCTGAGCTCAAGCAATCCACCTGCCTCTGCCTCCCAGAATGCTAGGATTACTGGCATGAGCCACTGTGCCTGGCCCTCATTTTTTAAATCTTTTACACCAATTTTCCTGTGTCTTCTCTATGTTTAGACACATAAATACTTCTCATTGTGTTACAGTTGCCTATTGTATTCAGCACACTAAAATGTTGAACAGTTCCATGTACAAGCTGTACCATCTAGATTTGTGTAAGTACCCTCTATCATGTTCATACAATGATGAAATCCCCTAAGGACACACATTCTCAGAATGAGACATGACTATACTGTGTTTTACTAATGAAAATAACCTAAATTATTTTTAAAAACACTTCCAGCCTGTCTTATTCTGCTTTCTCTGACTTTGGGATGGCTAGTTGCAATGAAAATATGACAATATTCACATGTAAAACCTGAATTTTGTATAGTTTTCCTCTCAATACACCAAATTCCACCGATCATTTTGGCATCCCTCTGACACAAAATTCTATATTACCTACATGTAAATCTAGATGAAAATGTATACATTGGTGCATAATATTCTGGACCTCCTAGACTTCCTGGAATTCCTGAATATAATGGCTCAGGGAATAGCAGATCTCCTTTTCCTTCCCTTGGACATATTTCTGGTTTCCGGTAATGGAGATTGGTAAAGACTTTCAGACCCACATCCTTCAAAGAAACAAACAATAAAAAACACTGTGCATTCCTTTCATACAAGAACTAGAAAAGGTGCATTAGTTATATTGTAACAGTAACTAGAGCATAAATATACATATATTCTGTACTAGCAAGGGCCCAAGATTTTAGGAACCAAGTCACCTCTATGTGATTTATGGAAAATCTCTAATTTAGAGGAAAAATTATCATCACTATGATTTTTTCTAGCAGTTATTATATGCTAGCATTTTGGTATTTTATATCCTTCTTCATTTAATCCTAAAGGGAAAATGCTTATGAGATTGGCACTATAATAACCCTAATTAACATCACACACACACACATATTCAATGTACACTCAGTAAATCCCAGCACACTTTAGCTGGGACTTGAACTAAACTCTATTTGATTCAATGCCCTTTATTGTATACACTTGTGATGTTAATTACAAAATCCTTTGATGGAAGCCTCAGCACATCTAATTGATGCTTAGGTACATATAGAATCCAGTTCCATTTTAGCTTCTGCATAAGAGTTATTGCAATAAATTGAAGATTATATCATTGCTTCTAATATGAGGTTTTATAATGTTGGCCACATAATTTATTTTTTATAAAATAGAAAGTCAACAAAAATTATTATTTCCTTTTTAATAAGACAATTTCTATGTACTCTATTAGCAGATTACACTAACAATCTCAAGACATAAAAAGATATCTATGTGAATAAAACATTGATATGGATTATTTGAATATATAAAGACTAAAATTTAAACTGAGACAAAATAATTTACAAAATCTTTAGTGATCTTACCCTGAGAATATCATAGACATCTCCATCTCTGTTGTTGCTTACAGGTGTGTAATATACACCATTGTAAAACATATCCTTCTGAGGAATACAAGGGTCTACCTTGCTATCATCAAGATTGAGACCAGGATAGAAATAACCATATGGTCCTGTATCTGGAAGCAGGTTATACACCTATGAGAAAAATCACATGATTCCCAATGATTTTAGGCACTCCTTTTACAGTTAGAAAATTGGTAAATTTTACATCATACTTATTTGTTTTTGTCCTTTTAAGAGTATGGCCATAATATTTAATCAAATATTTTTGTGTTAAGTTTTCAGAAGAGGAAATTGATTTTCCTTTAGGCAAATTAATGACATGTTAACAACACATTTCAGTTTTGTGCAGGATTTAGGAGGCATGTAAGAAAGAGACACTTGAGATCTACTGATGAATTCAAGGACTAGGATATAGATAATTTATTGAAATGATAATGTTAGATGTTAGCTGCCTGATTCTAAGTCTTTTTACATAACCTTTGAAAAGAATATAAAATTAGTCAAAAGCACAAGTAATTATATACATATCTCATATATGACTAGTATATTTGACATTACTGAAATCCAGAGAATACCATGACCTTCAAATTACTTGTTGCAGAGTAACTACCACTTGTATTGAAAATCTGAGGAATGCAAAACTGTAGAAGGGAAATTGAAGAGGCTACGTGACAAAGGAAAGAATGGCATGGTGTAGAAGGAACACACACCAAATCAACTCCAGATAAAAGAGCGTTCAACATTGCACATCAAAACATAAGCCATAGTCATTAAACTAAATAGTTCTCGGGACTGGCTGCAGGACAAGGCCTTGAAATAAGTAGACCTGGAAGTGGCAACTTCAAGTGAAGCATGGATAATGAGAAAACACTCAGAAAAAAAAGGGGGAGAATGAGGTATGCCGACCCTTGAAGACAGTGCACTTAAAGGAGGGAAGAATATGATAGCATAAAATAAAGAACAATGATGAAACATAAGAAATAAAAAAACACTAATCCTTATAACACCCTTTCCAACACTAACATTTTTTTATTCAAGAAATTGCATTTTACTAAAAAAAAAAGAAAGGGGCACTCTTCACTGAAAATACCAAGAACTATGAAAAAAAGAAATAAACTTCATACAAAGCGGAAAATGCAAATCTTTTAGTTGATGAAACTTCTTTACTAAAGTAACTAAGCAACTAATTAATAAATAAACAGAGAAAGCCATACCAGAACACTTCATATAAATGAAGTTTTCTCAAACATGCATTTGGAGTCTTTTAAAGCATCATGCATCAGAAATTGAATAAAGGAAAAAGTAAAAATGGACAAAAACTAAGAAGAAATAAAATGAGAATTCACTGAGCTCAGAAAAAATAGATAGAATTGTACCATAAATAAACTCCCAAGTATAAAAACCTCAAGAGAAAACAGTTGAAAGAAAACTTTGAAAATAAAACAAAAAATAATAAAAATGTGAGAAAGAATGAATTAAAACAGAGACAGGCAATGTGGTTGAATTGGAAAACAGGTAAAAGAGATCTGGCATGTGTATAGAGTTTTTTAAGAAAGGAAAAAAATAGAAAGACTAATGCTTATAATTCAGAAGAAATTTCTAGAAATAAAAGCAGATCTTTGGTTTATATATTGCATAGGTCTACTGAGTACCTGGCAAAAGTGCCCCTGAAAAATAAATTCTGAGAGATATTTTACAAAAACTATTATATTTTGCAGTACAAAGGAGAAAATATTTGATAAGTCCAACATGTTCAATCTCCAGTAAAAACATCATCTAAAACCTAAATCTTGTGGAAGTCCAGGAAAAATGAGGAAAATAGGGAAGTCTGAGAGCTTACTTACACTTTCAGCTGACAGCTGTTTGGATTTCAGTAGAAGGACACTTTTATCCACAGCCTGGAGAGCACAGAGTGAGCCAGGGGCTGCTTGAAGATAGAGTCTGGCATGGGAGCCAGGTAGTCCCCGCTCCTTAGAGAAGTTTATGCTAACCTGAAGTAGAAAAGGAAAAGGAATGGAGGTAGACGTAATTTTATATAAAAATAGTTTTAATAAATTCAATCTTTTCCCACTAAATCCTTATAGATTTCTGTACCCATATTTCTCCCAAATCTCTTTGCAGAGACATCTCCTCATCGCCCTCCTGACATCTCAGAATTATCTAATGATAATTCTGTTAGCACTATTGCCAACGACTACACATTCTGTTTGGTAGTTCTCTCACCCCTAGATAATTTAATTGCAACAACATTTAGTGGGAGGCTACCAAGTCAAGGTGGTGGCAGTCAGATAAGAGGGAGACAACAGGGACAAACTGTGAAGCATTACCTTGTTTTTAAAGCACTTGTTAACCAGGAATCTGACCCTGTCAGCCACAATCTCCCCACTGGGGTGAAGGGTGTAGACAAGCATGACAGCTGCAGGGGCCAGATCAGCACTGATGTCGATTGGGACCAAGAAGCTTCCATTCCAGGCTGTGTAAATAGGAGACGGAGGTAGTGACAAAAGTTTCCTAGATCACCAGGTACACTTAGGTAAAAGAAAATGGCTTATGGAACGGAAGCTATATGTACAATAAAGAAGATGGAACAATTTAGGTAATAAAAATTCTGGGATTTGGGCATCACTTTTCTGTAATGTACTAAAAGCCCTGGCAAAAATAGAAACAGGTAAAAATCTCATTCATCAAAATATTTAGCAGCTGACCTTGGGCCGTGCTGACTATTGCTTTTCATCTACGAATTGTAATAAGGAAGTGCTCTTCTTACCTTCTTGTCACTATTGCTATAAGAGTTACATAATTTAAAAAGATGAAGCTAGAGTATGTACTTAAAAAATGAATATATCATATACACCTTTGTTTCTGATTTCCTTTTGTCCACTGAGGAAGATAGCTCCTTTAATTATCACCTGTGCAGAATGAAGAAAACACAATATAAGACATATTATTTAATATATCATATTATCATAGTGTTGCGAGGTAATGAATTATCCACAAACAAATGTTAAAAATGGACTTTGAATTAATTGGAAAAGAACAGAGAAAGTGATTACAGTTGACTGAGAGCCTAGTATGTACTAGAAAATTCGAGAAATCATGTACAGTGGAAAGGTGGTCTATAAAGCTCTTATATTGTTCAGGCTGTTTGGCTTCCAATATGCCTTCCTCTAATTATTCACTATAACTTAAAGCAAATTATTTCACCTGTTTGCCTCTGTTCCATTATCTGTCAAATGGATGTGTCCATAAAGGTGATTAAACAAGTTAACACACAAAGTCCAAATAACAGTACCTGACACACTATTTACCCTCCAAGGTGAGTCTTATTATTTCTAGTTACAAATTTGCAACTGAGGAAGCCAGGGCTTAGAGAGTTTACACAATCTGCTCAAGACTGATCAACCTGCATGACAAACAGGACAGGGTAAAGGACTAAGAATGCCAATTCCTTGCCAATAGGAATGCCAATTTCCAAGTCAGTGTCTTTTTCACTCATCAATTTGCCTCACAGAGACAAAACGGACAGAATCAAGTGGGCTAAGTCCTTCTACTGCTTATCAAAATGAGCTTTCCAATTTACTTTCTGATCTCTGCCTAATATTTTAACTACCATCAAGGGCTATAGATACTGGGCACAAGGTACAATTGAATGCTCAAAAAAGCAGACTCTGAATATCAAATTTTTCAATGTTAAGGAAATTTAATTGCCTTAGATCAGTGGTTCTCAGTCTGTGGGTTACAACCCACAGGAACTGTATTAAAGGGCCACGGCATTAGGAAGGTTGAGAACCACTGCCTTAGTTCATTTTGCGTGTATGTTTGCTTTTTTAAAAATGAATTCAGTAGCATTCATCAGCAAGGTGAGGAGGTGGAGCTTACTCAGATTCCCATGGCATGACTGATGTGTATTTTCTAAGCCTCGTGGTGCTAAGCAGACATACCATTAGACAAGATTCCAAAACACTAACTGAGACTTACCAAATAGAAGAAGTTTACATTTGAATCATCCTTATATGCTTCACTGTCCAAGGAGTAAAGCACAGTAATAATCTTCTGTTGATTACATCTAAGCGGCTTTGGTTCCGGAACAATCTTCAGGAAGCTACCAGTTCGAGAGTAAAAGCGTGAGACTGAGAAATATGCCTCCAAATACAGGGACTCCCACATCCTGAGACGATGGCAGCTGTCAGGGCGAATGTACATGGCCTGATATGACAAAAGAAAGTGAAGGATCTTAGAGCTATAAAGGCATCCAAAGAGAATGTGACTACCGAACAGAAGGTTTCTTTTTTTTCCCATGCAGGGAGGAATTTTAGCTTGAGGCTGACATTTTAAACTGTTGGAATTGAAATAGTAACAGCACTCTCCTCTTAATGAAACATGACTCATGAAATAATATTGCATGAATATGTCATTAGACCACAAAACAAGTTGTGATTTTTTTTACTCTTTAATTGAAGTCAGAAAACTGGACTTACACTGTTTCTTTCCATTATTTTTGAACACTGAAAAATTGTTTAACTGCAAAATTTTTCTTACACAGCAGAAAAAAAGAGAAATCATACTATCTCCTCTATCTATGCATGAATTATTTAAGTAAGTCAAAGTCATCTTCATGAGCTACTCCTAGTTTCTCAAAGGAAAATATTGGTTGTTACAGAATTGTAACCATTGTAATACACGGTTAGCTTTCATCTGCTTGAACAAATATTCTCAGATATTATTGAATGAACAGGCAAATCATATAAAAGCAAGATAAATTTCAAAACTTGATTAAAATATATTGTCTTTTTTTTTTTTTTTTTTGAGACAGAGCCTCAAGCTGTCCCCCTGGGTAGGGTGCTGTGGCATCACAGCGCACAGCTACCTCCAACTCCTGGGCTCAAGCGAGTCTTTCGCCTCAGCCTCCCAATTAGCTGGGACCACAGGCGCCCGCCACAATGCCTGGCTATTTTTTGTTTGCAGTCATCATTGTTGTTTGGATTCGAACTCGCCACCTTAGGTGTATGTGGCTGGTGTCTTAGCCACTTGAGCCACAGGCACCGAGCCTGAAATATATTCTCAGTTAAAGTTATCTTTTGAGAGATTCTTAATGTTTAGAATTCCTAAAATTCAGGTCCCCTATGGGATATCTGACAGTCTGCATCCACTCCTTGATGTCTTACTTGCAGGTTGAACACCGGATTGAATATATCTGAAGTGTCGATGGAAAACTGAGCTTCGCCATTCTCATCTGTTGTGTAATTGCCCACAAATTTGCCATCAAGCTTCAGTTGCAACAACTTGCTCACCATTGGTACATCATTGGGACCAGAAAGTTTAAGCTGTACAAAAAAAGTATTTATATTCTTAAAACACCAATTTTTCACAATTCTACAGAAAAAGAATTTTCTATTCACAAATGTGATCACTCACAATCTTCAAGTCTAATGGACAGCAAGATGCTCTATTAAATATACATGCAGAAATATGCAAAGAGTTACAGTTTTATCTATTATTATTTCTTTTCATCCTGGAATTTTTTCCCAGTATGTCAGACACAGTAGTGCTAAAGATACATTATGAAAATAGGAAAAAGTGACCAGAAATTTTCAAAGGGGAGGGGGGAAAGAAGGGGGAATGTGTATTTTTAAGTCAACCTACAGTTCCAAAATAAGAAATCCCTCTTCTATAGAAAGGGTCCATGTTCTCAAATTTCACAGTTCCAGGAAACTGAGTGATAAAAATAGAAGTCTTTTCACTGATCTGCACACCTGTAAAAATGATAAGACACAGTGTCAGGGACGGTTTAATTGTTTGATAAAAAATTCAAAAGAAAAAACAGCTTAGGGTACATGTGAGAACTTTCTATACACAAAATTATATTCTGGTTTTACATTGAAAGAGAGGTGTGAATGCTTTGAAGTATGTTTTTAGCACGCTCTACATTATCTGGTTATGGGATACTTAAAATTGAAGACTGTAATTAATATAAAAACATTTGAATCAGAAGCAGAAGAAAAAGCTCAAGTTCCTGCCTCCTGCTAGGCTATTCAGTTCTGGCTTTTGATTCTCTTTATGATGGGGAATACCAGAGACATCTCCAATGTAAGGCTTTCTGAAATCTTTCTTGTGCTTGCAAGATAACTGTGTATTTAAACTTTCATCAAATTTTTAATAGTTGGTAGCAAAGTAAATAAAATGCCTTGTGATATCAACAAAGTAAGTGAATAAGCACAGTGAAACATCTGGGTAAGTTACTACTAACAACACTATAAATGTGACAAATTTGCCCATTTTGAGTGCCATCACAAAATTGATCAAGTATATTTATATAAAGTACTTTACAAATGATGTAATCCCAAACTCTAAGTAACAAGAAATAATTAGTAATTGATTTTGCTTTCCCCACCTTAAATTAAATGTCACTTTCCTCTTTTTAAAAAAATTATTTTAACAGCTATTTTTGAGCACATGCTATGTGTGACTTTGTAAAATTTTCATTAATAATTTTAGCACTTCCAAATGTATTGGAAATACTGTTCCAAATGTATTAGAAATACAGTTTTATTAAATCAGGGGTTGGCAAGCTTCTTTTGCAAAGGATCTGATATACATAGTTATTTGAGGCTGTAGACCACACTGTCTTTGTCACAACTATTTAACTTTAACTCTTAAGCAAATGAGTGTGGCTATATTTCAATGAAACTTCATTTACATAAATAGGTAGAGATCTGGATTTGACCTTCGAGATGTAGATTGTGAGCTATTGAATTAAATCAGAAATTAGGCCAGCCATGGTGGCTCACACCTGTTATCCTAGCACTCTAGGAGTCTAAAGTAAGTGGATTTCTTGAGCTCACGAGTTCAAAACCAGCCATGGTTCAGCGCGTGTGACTCAAGTGGCTAAGGTGCCAGCCACATACACCTAAGGTGGCAGGTTTGAAGCCAGCCCGGGCCCTCCAAACAACAATGACAGCTACAACCAAAAAATAGCCAGGCATTATGGTGGGCGCCTGTGAGGCTTTGTCTCAAAAAAAAAAAAGAACCAGCCTGAGCAAGAGCGAGACCCTCTAAAAAATAGTTGGGCATTATGGTGGGCTTCTGTTGTCCCAGCTACTTGGGAGGCTGAGGCAAGAGGATTGCTTGAGCTTGAGGTTGCTGTGAGCTATGAAACCATAGCACTCTACCCAGGGT